CCCGCTGGGCTCCGGCTATTCTTCCGCCTCAGCCTTCCAAGTAGCCGGAATTACAGGCATGCGCTACCACGTCCGACTGATTTTTTAATTTATTGTAGAGATGAGGGCTCGCCAAGTTGCCCAGGTGGGTCTCGAACCCGCGGGCTCAGGCAATCCACTCACCTCAGTCTCCCAAAGCGTGGGATTACAGGCTGAGCCACCGAGCCTGGCTTCACCTGTTTTCATTTGTTCATTACCTTCTACACATTCGAGATGGAAAAAAAAGAATGGCATAGGCATTTATATAATACATGTATAAACAGTTTTTATTACTGTAAAATTGATGGTTCCTGTGATATGGGAATGCCTTGACTCTTTAATATGATGAGGGTGACCATGATATTGACTAATAAATTGCTATATGTCATGCACTATGCAAAGTGATTTGCATGTATTGTCTTATTTAACATTTATAATAGCTGTATAGTATTTTCTCAACTTTGAAATAAAAGAACAAGGCTATATTGTTAAGAATGATAACTTGTCCAAGACCCCTAGCTTTTTATCACTCTCCATCTTGAATGGTAATATGCCTCTCTTTGTCTCAAAAAAATAGATAACCCAGAAAGCTGTCCACAAACAAAATTAGTAATACTGTTTCAGAAACAGAAATAATACATGGTGTATTAAAAGAGTTCTACCTGAAGTTATATAAAGACAAAATATTTTCTTCACAAAGTATTTTTCAAAGGCTTATATAGCTTCCATCTACTACAATCAAGGGTATCTGGAGAGGATCTCCATTTGTTCAAATAAGCTACAGAAAAATGCTGATGGCTTCCATTATGTGAATTTTAAATGACGAAACCATTTAACAAGCTGATCTAAATTATACATCATACTATCAAATCAATTAAGTGATGTGGTTAATTCACCTTTGGCAATATATTCATATTTTTCCCTCTTGGTTTCTTTTTTTCTGTATAATAAGTGTGTAATAAGTCTAAAGACAAATAAATAAATAAAAACACTCCATGTGCGATACTGGATGAAAACAGAGTTTTTATTCTTATAAAATATAATGGAGTATTTGTTTCATAGCTATATGTACACATATATAATATAAATTTATCACTATAACATTTATGCAAAGTTGTGAATGTTCGGAATTTGTATATATGTGTATATATGTGTGTGTGTATATATATCTATATATATATCTATATAGAGAGATATTTGCATCACAAAGCATGTGTTTTTGGCAAAAGACAACCACAAACATCTCCAAGGCCGTCAAACATTTGGCACTAGGCAGTATGAAAGTATATTGTTTTATGGCTAAATCAGAACAATTGTTAAAATGTTCTTAGCCTTGGGCTGTTTATTCAGAATGCCTTATAATACGGTTTATCAACAGAATTTAAATCTGTATGCTTACCATTTTCCTAGTATAAGAACAGCAAGTGAACAACAAAGAGGAATAGATTTTGTGGTCTCATCTAAGTGTAACTAGGTTCATGTCGATTCTCAGAAAATCATTATAAGTTACATATTATAGTGAATATTTACTTAAGAAAACAATTTCAAGATTGAAAGAAACAGTCTAAACCTGGATGCCAAAAAGAAAATAACAGGGTGAAATGAGAAGATACATTTTACTTAAACCCATTAATATTTTTTTCAGAAGAAATTTATTCTTATCAACATTTAAAAAAAAATAATAACCTGGACACCTTTGGTCTACATCATGAAAGTTCAAGAGAAAAAAAACAAATAGATATATGTAGTGTTTAAATGAATATTTATGTAAACAAGGGGATAAAATATTGTTCATTGTTCAGTAGATATTTTGGCTGATGATTTTAATGTTTTAATATTAGTTAGATATTTATGTTAATTTGAAGAAATTAGCAAATTTTATCTACAAATGTTAACAAGCTAACAGAGTCATCAAATCACATTCTAGGAGAAAATATTATTTCCTGGCATTAGAGTCCAGAGAAGGCACTCTGCTACCTATTATATGCCTGAATGTGGTGAGAATCA